CTGTGGAAGGTTCAGCTGACGTTCATCGCGTTCCTTTCCGCCCAAGCGATCACCGCTTCCTCTAGCGTAGAAGCCCATAAGCTGATCTTTTTTATTGCCCGTCACACTTCACATGTGGATTACCCTGTATATCTTTGTGGTTAGGTCTCTGTGTGTGTATGTACGTGCTTGCATGTGTTTGATTGCGTCTTTGTGGTATCTGTCTAAGGGTGTATGTGTGAATATTTGGGTGTCTGCTTGTGTCTTTGTATACGAGTGTGATTGCGTGGTTTGTGTCCTCCTGCTTGTAAATGTATGCCAGCTGTGTCTTGGAGCGTGTGGGAGACACAAAAACAGACTCTCATTAACGTACATACTCGTGCATACACATACAAACGCTTACAGACAATCGCATAGACACAAAGGCAGACATAGAGACGCATAGGTTCAAGCACACTGCCAGGTACAGACAGGCAAACACACAGAGTTGCATTTGCAGGGCTCAGGATTTACTCACTAAGAAACAGACAGACAGACAGACAGGCAGACAGACAGANAGACAGATAGACAAAACGACAGACACACACAGGCGCAGATAGATACCACACAGAACACAGACCCAGATACACACAATAACACAAACAGTACATACCAAAAGACAAACACACACACGCGCACATACACCTTTACCGGCACGCACATACACTGGCACACACACCGCCACACAACCACACACAGACGACTTCTGCTTGCAATGGACAATGACGGCACTTTTCTCAGTGAAACTAATCAAAATTCAGCGCCATCAAGTTCATACCGCAATCCACCACTACGATTCCGAACTAATAATAATCGTGGAATGGTATGATGAATGGTAGAGTTCTAGTAGTTTTACATGTATAATATTGAATTATGGCGAACATTTGTCCCGTAAAGGTAGGTAGGAGGAATTCACATCATCAAAACCTGCTCAGAAGTCTTTTTATAGCGAGCACCCTTCATGGATTGAATTCTGACTATTACTGGGAAATCTGACGTGATCTGAATATAACTTTAAGAGATGACAGAAAAAGAAAAAACGGAGAAAATAGAAAGGATGATGACCCCTCGAGCGGAACGGCTTTGATTCAAAGAGAGAAGAACTCTTGATTGAGTCAGAATCAGGGAGGAGCAACTTGTACCGGTAAACAGCGCATCACATGCCATTCTGAGGCCTCGAAACCTAGGGGACAAAGTTACAAAGACGTCAGCAGCGCTCATGACGGCGGCCACAGTCGATTGTCCAGCATCATAACGACATTTCTGCATAGTTTATTCCCAGCAACCCAATATTTCACCGAAACCGCCGCCGTTTACATCATTATACAACAATCAAAATAAACAACACGTTCTCCGGGATTATTGATCGATGTGGTCGCATAAATGACGTCGAGTTTCCAAAAGTATTATAGAACTGAACAAAAGTTCAGATCGAATCCCAATTTTTACCGTAATCTTGCTAATACTTCGTACTACTACTACGATTTACGCAACTAACACTATTTTTCGAAATGAACCGGTATTGCATCGGTATTGGGAGATTACGATAAGATTTCTGTTCCATATTGAATCTACACGGACCAGTACGTTCTGAAGAGGTGCGCTATTTTTTAACTGATAGAGTGACCTCTCGAATCCGGCAGAAATCCTTGACGTTGTGGAACTCTACAGTACAACACCCTTTCCATACTGAACTTAACTTTTCCTACTAAGTTCGCTAAATTCTTTTATGCTGGCCTCACAATTAAGCATATATGTAGTAGGCCTTAAACCCATCATGTGAATTCCCAGACCTTTTTGAGTGAGGCTGAAAGCTGGACTCATGTCGAAGAGATCGGCTTAATCGAGCAACTCATTCCTATCTTCTTCTTAATGGAAATGAAGATTGGGGGTTTCAATGTGATCACGCCATTTAACAGTTCCATTCATTCAAGCAATCTTCGGATACCTCAACGAGGTAGGTAGTACAATAAAAGTTGGCGGGACCTTTATCACCGGTACGGGATGGGAGAAAAGCAAGTGATCCGATTGAACCTTGTAATCCGTCTTCCAAGGCTGGCAAAGTGTTCTAAGCTGCTTCTATGGGCCAGAGCAGAGTAGCACCTAAGTTTACAGCTTCCGATGCCTCTTCTGCTTGATGGACAGCTAGAACCATAAGGAAATGTATAAGTATAAGAAATCGCTATGCTATAGGATCCTTGAAAGGTGGAAGATAAAGTCTGAGTAAATCAATCCCGTCCAGAATGTGTGCCCCGCATTCGAATCCCATTCTGTGGCTTAACAAATGCGCTTGAGGCCGATACAATGACCTGCGAAGGCTAGCCCATATACAAGTCAGTGCTTTCATCCTCCCAGAACGATCTGCTACCAGTTAACCGACCCGGAGGTATGGAAGACCTGTCTGGTCTAGACGGGTATTGATGCGGGAATTGAACTCGCGGTCATGTGTTTGTGATAGTGCACCGTTTTCACTATACCACCTCCGCCGTGCAGTATAGTGTTATGCAAAATCTTTGGGTAGGCAGATCTAGCTCTGACAACTTTTCCAGTTTAAATTTTCAAGAAATAGTCACGGCAGGTAGTCGAGAAATTCTCGGGGGAACAAAATTTTCAAATGAAAAGGAAATAGTGTCCTAAAGATCAAAATACTTTTCTACACTTCGAGAGACTAGTTCAAGCATAAAATTTAATATCCTACCAAATGTTTATTACATACATATAATTTATTTATTTATAATTTTACATAATAACTATATAAAATTTAATCTGAGGTATCAATGTATAAACTCCACATTCTCGAAATTTCAGTGCAAAGGAGAGCAGCCCACTGAATGTGTGACGATACCCCGTTCACTTGACGGTCGTCTACAAATATCACATCGCAAGGCAAGACAGTTCATATCGATTACCTCAGTACTTGAAGTTTTAATTGAATGGCACTTTTTCATTCTTATTTTATTACATTTCGAGAACGCAGCGGTGAGGAATCCCAAACCTTCCCAGGAAACTCAGAAGTTCCTGATCCCAGAAGCAAATCGTATAACTAATGAAACTGGCAATCACGAACGTAATAACACGGAAACGTCAGCCAAGTAAGGGCTTGACTATCTCGGGTCCCACCTGAATTTCTACTGAAATTCTACTCGAAGAAAATGAGGAAAATGTCGGAAACATAGGAACCATACTTAGAGTTTACAATTAAATGCGACAGTACAGTTTGTGGAAGGTAATGTAGGAATTCAGAGTGGGTCAAGGATGGAAAACATTCGAAGAGCGATCGTGACGAATAAAATCCAACCACCTNAACACGGAAACGTCAGCCAAGTAAGGGCTTGACTATCTCGGGTCCCACCTAAATTACTACCGAAATTCTACTCGAAGAAAAAGAGAAAAATGTCGGATACATAGGAACTATACTTAAAGTTCACAATAAATGCGACAGTACAGTTTGTGGAAGGTAATGTAGGAATTCAGAGTGGGTCAAGGATGGAAAACATTCGAAGAGCGATCGTGACGAATAAAATCCAACCACCTAGAATACCCAAGGGTTGCTCAGTAACGTAAAACCCTTTGATAGCCATAGCAACGTTCTCTAAAAACTGGAAAGAATAAATTGGAATGAGCAGGCTCGGGCATCGGAATCGATTCTGCTCGAGAAATGGAACGCCGTTCATTGCGCTGTATAGGTTGACCACGACGACCTCGACGGCATTTGTTCTCTCGGCCGTTGGACAATTGACAAACTGTTCAACCACTTGAATGCTCTAATTTACCTTGAGAACGTCGCCTTCGTAGCAGGAAGAATTGGAACTTCGAGCGGTACATCATGGGGTAGAATGGAGGCGTTGAAAGAATACCATCCTCAGATTCCTATAATGACACAATCTTCAGTAAAAAAAATTATTTATCGAATCGCTTACCAATAATTCGACGCATTTTTTGTCTCTGACTGTGAACTACTCACCCATAGTTTGTTGTCCAAATATTCCAAGAGCAGCGCTCGGAGGCGGAGTTGCCGAGGATGTGGGCGGTAATGTCTCAGACCACCTGTAATCCCAGTGATTGGAGCGATCCTTGAACCAATGAGGGGGTAGGTAACAGATACTTCCGCCAACATGTTCTGTTTGTCATAGCTGTGGCCGTGCAATGGGCATCTCGCACGGTGCCGATGCACATGCTCCTTGAGAGAAGTTTCTCGATGAATTCCTGACCTGGGACTGATTGAGTTTCCGCCTGATGAATGACTAACCAGTTTCTAGCCGAGGTCATCATCTCCCTGCAAAGATACTGATTAGTCAATTTAAAATAGCTGATCAAGAGATTCACTTTTATGTTTTAGTAAGAACTGATTTAAATTCCGACATCAAAACCTTGACTATGCCCAGAATCAAGCAGAAACCATGCATTCGAAGCGGCTGTCACAAATTGTACGGTCGAAAAAAATATATTGTAAAGCGATGGCTGTGCAGTATTCCCTACAGGACGCAAAACAAAGGGTTTTAATGAATATCTACTAAATCTGAGGATTACGTTGAAAACAGCAGATACTATCCAGTAGTACATACCAAACGTAGAGATTAGTACTTTATTAGGAAGAGGGAGGAATCTTAAAATAAGTAAAAACGACCGGTACCAAGCCGAACGTAGCATAGCGCTAAGCGGGATGGAAGACTTTATTGATCAGGACACCACATCCAAATCAATGAAGCCTTTCGTTTTTCCACCAAGCGCTCTAGATCGTTTCACGATCAGCCTGACCATTNCATTCACCATAAACATCTTCATTACATGCACATCGTTTATTCTGAACAGTATGTGGCTTCAAGCGGTAGTAGGACCGCTGGAGCAAAAGCTCAGCCTTGATTTACGACTCCATCAATATTTCGGAGTGTTTTACCCCTTCAGGTTGCCCTACGTTACCATTTAACAGCCCCTGAGGATCTGTTGGGAAAGACTTCCTGTGTAAGTAGCCTTTTCCAAAAAGTAAAGTAGATTCAATGCACCGCCTTCTAACTCTCGTCAACCATAGCAGCCCTCCTCGGAATCGAACCGTCGACTCCAAGAAAGTCAATGTCGCCGAATAACAACATAAAAAAATTTGAAGTAATCAGATTTGCCTTTTAATCATTTAAGCTGGCTGTCAACACCTTATTCTTATTGTTAGCCCTGAAAAACAGTTGACGACTCTTTAAGTCGAAGGTGCCCATTTAAAAACTGATAGACAGCCTCATGGAGATTACCCCTTGAGCTTAACGTGCACGAAAAGCTAGAAAGGATAAAGAGAAGATCATTTTCTGTGTTTAGGTCTTATGGGCACTGTTTAGGATGCTAAACAACTGCTTTGAGTTTCAGGCTCTTCCTCACGTCATCTACTGCCGAGTTTATCGATGGCCTGATTTGCAGTCACACCACGAACTGAAGGCTATCGATAGCTGCCGGTGAGCTCCAATTCGGTTTTGGCCATTGGCGCATGTAAAGTTACGGTAGAAAGTTCTGAATGGTTCACTGCACGGTGAGACAACCAACTATGTAGTACGGCCAACTTAGAACTAAGGCTACCAATGGCGCCCTTCTTTCTTCCCCTTCAGCCTCCCTTCCCCCACCGCAGTCATCCCAGGGCAGAGTTTGTATTGCAGAATCTACGAAAACCTGACTTAGCTATTTTCCCAGATAATTGGAAAAATGATTGGTAAAGCCTTAATTGCAGGTATTGCTATGACTCTGGCCAGAAAGAGATATGCATCAACCCTTATCACTATCGCCGTATCGAAAGCGATGGTGTTCTACCTCCGGTTCTGGTTCCAAGGTGACACCAACTACTTTAGCATATTATCAGACCAGTAACTTTATCAGTTCTATTGTAGGCATTCAGAATTGCCACCGGCTTCCATACCACCAGGAATTCGACGAATGCAAGCTATGGAGGCATCCGGATCGTCGATGCCGCAGAATGTGGAAATCGCTGGACTATTCAAGTGAGCCTAGTAAATGTCGCTTTTTAACCCTTGGCACCGTCGAACTGCCTCGAGATTCATAGAGAGCAGAATCTCAAGGAGAGCATACCGGAACTTTCCTTAACATTTACAATGCTACTGACTTTCAAACGGTAATTGGCATCTTGGTAGCTACCCTACAGGTTTTCGATAGGTCGTGAATGGTACAGAGGGGCGAAATAGTCCTCGATGACAAAGACGACCTCGGAAGATCGACGACGAAACGCTCAGATTATTTGGTTCTACTAACAGTTCACCCCATGTACGCGTAGTTCCGACTCTTTCTGTCGTGGTGAATACGTTGGCAGAGAAAAAGAGTGGAATCAAGATTCTAACGAACTTTCGACTTTCCATGTGGAATATTATGGTTCTCTGCGGCAGAATAACCTCAAGAGTAGAAGGCTGCAGGTCTGAGCCGCAGGTTGAGCAAATCACTTCTGAAAGCTTTCTCAAATCTCTACGGAATCATCTACGGATCAAAAATCATCTTCGCGAAAAGAGTGTTATCATTCAAAAAACGTAGTCATGCAGTTTGCGAAGCTCCTCTCCAAGCTACAACAGAAACTGCTCAAGAAAAAGAAGGGCTTTTAAAGCTGGTCTTGGCCACGAAGATGTGCCCACCCACGAACACCTCCATGTTCCTAGCGAATACATGTCAAACTTTCAGGAATTACTTTGTCAACCCATTTCGGAAGGTACTTCTGCATCGAAGCCGAAAAGTTTGGTAGATACCCAGGCATTCACTCACAGCGTGGACATAAAATTTGCCGATTGTCCAGTTATGTCCTCATTACAATCTCGTCCGTTTCTTGGAATACCATCATTTCGGTGAAGCAATTCCTCCGTGACAGATCTTTTTCTTGGCATCTTACTGCTGGTAGAGGCTGATCCCTTGGTACGAAAGGGATCTGAAAAACTGTCCCGAAATGGCAACGATTAGGCGCATATTTTGCTTTTGCGGCGCTCTTGAGAACAATTGCTCGGAGTAGAAAAATGCGGAAGTCGGTGCGGAAGCATACCCTCGAGGGGTGGTATGCTTCCGTACGAACTTCCGCAATGTCCTTCTCTGAGCGTAAATAGGTTAAGTTCCTACCAAGCCGTGTCACTGCAGACCACGATTTTGCTTCCGACTTCCCATCGACTTTCCTGCTCTTCAGCAATTCCTCATCAATATCCTTCTGGAAAGTAACGCACTGCTTTATTAACATGAACAACTCTTCAATCAAAAAGAAGAAAAAGAAGACACTGTGCGTTCTTTTCTTTTTTTCTGTTAAAGTCAGCAAAACGACCAGATTCAAAAAAGGTCTACTAGCCATTGTACCTACTTGTCTGACACCGGCAAGAGTAGTGACTACACTATCACCTAGTCGACCAATCGTCTCCGGTTAAGCTCTTTGAACTGGAGATGAAGATGATACCACCATTTCTAAGGCGTAAGCCCTTAAATGGTTTGAAACTGGACTGCCATGCTGTCGTCGACCTCGACCAGCTTTAAACTCGGAACTGCCTTCACTTATGTAAACAACCTTCAAGTACGGGGTGAAGGGGTGTAGTGGCAAGTGGCACACTATCACACCCTCTATGGTCACGGGTTCAATTCTCGGATCGGTACTGCCCAGGCCTACCAAGCCTTCCATCATTTCCACTGGTACAAGACGTCACAGAGTATAAAACTTATAGATTGACTGGCCACCAGAGGCCATATAGGCCGCATACTGAATGAGAATCGAATATCAACGCCCCAAGACTTTATCCTTTACCCACCTTCAAGAACAAACACACAGAATTACTCTCCAAGATGAAAACTAGTATTTTAGCCATTCCCAATTCAATCAAATGCACGTGGACGATGCCGACAATTACAATTTCTCACCAAGTGTACCGACAGTAGCGGTAAGTTAATGACTTGGAAACTTCGTGTGAAACTTGTTGGTCGTTTCTATAAGACAGGTATACCTCTGAAAAACTGCTTCTCTTTGAGTAACCGATTCTTCTAACCAATTTGTAGAAGCAATTGCGACTGTTAAGACTGTTCTCGAAGCGTCTAGCTGTTGTTCCCATGTTGAACGTCCCGACGCTTTTTTTTTGAGAAGCTTTTTTCTAGCAATGGTGTCTTAAGGAGAATACGATTACTGAAGAAAGCAATGCATCCCTCTATCATTTGCCACAATTTTCGTGTGGCCTTCATTGCCACTGCTCCTGTCAATGTACCTACACCCTTCTCGCGGCACATGCCCCGTTTACTTGTCCTCAGAGTTGAATAAAATCAAGCGGAAACCAAAAAAAGTCAACTGAGATCACTTTATAGAAGGTTTCCCGAGAATATCCTCGACGTTTTTCAGGTTCAATGTGTTCAACCTGAACATTGGGCAACAATCAGCTACTACGAGATGAATACTCGAGTTGGTGAACAAATTCGAGTACGCCAACACTTCCTGTTGTTCTTTATCCTCCATTTCTTGACAGAATTTTATTCAAAGAAGATTTGTACAACCCTGTGGCTGACGCTAGACTGAGTATCAATCTGTAGGTGACGTCTTCACCGGTGTACATCGATGGCTACACGGATCCGACAAATAATCCGCAAAAAATCAGTCTTGGTCTATTTTCTAACGTCAACCGAAATCCACCGATCGAAAATACCCGACGGCTCATCGGAAAAGGTATGTTATTCACCAAGTGTGGGTCAGGAAATCCCTACAGGTCGTAAGGCGTAGTGACCTAGTTCCTACGTGGCGACCTTGTGAGACTACTGGTTTGCCTGCAACGCTTCCATGAGTAGGAGTTTCAACCCAACCCATTTGATTTTGGGATTTCTCCGTCTGGAAGCTTTTGAATAGCCGTCTTTCAGGAGTGAAGCTAACCTATGTACGTCATCAAGGCACGTTATTTGCCGAATGCGAATCGGATTCGGCAATCTTTGTGCAATCACGGAATTGCAACTATATTCACGGCTTTCATCCAACTACGGTCGTCAAAATCGCTAATAAATGTTCTTTGAAGATCTTCGACGAGCAATGCTTCCGGAGGGTTAGTTGCATATCCTTTGCAGTAAACCACTGACCGACTTTGAGTAAAAAATTATTATAAGACTGAGCT